TAGTATCCGCTTTTGGCAGTTTTCGAGTTTGCCTATGTCATGACATTGTATTGTAAATCAAATAAATCTGTCCTTCAAAGATAAATTACAAGATCTGTTTTAAATATTAAATACTAATTAAAGAAATAAACCTTAAATTAAATTACTATGAAATTCTTAATTAGATAGTGAATGAAAATTTAATAGGGAAAGTTTATCCAATAAGGAAAAACGTTTAATTGAGAGAGATAGGAGAGTTTCGAAATCTATTGGTTGAATGAATAGACTTATATAAAACTTAAAAAATAACAACATTCACTTACAAAATTACAGACAATTCTGATATTTTTTAATCTCTTTTGGTATTTGGTATGGAATTAAAAAAGAGAATAGCCGTAATCGGTGCCGGTGCAAGTGGAATTGTTTCTATTAAAATCTGTAAAGAAGAAACTCTTCAAGNTATGAATTCCATGTTGTACGAGTCACTTAGATTTTACAAATACGTGTGCCGGGCTGTGAACGGATCACGTATTTGTAAAATCTAAGTGACTCGTACAACATGGAATTCATATAAAACGGAAAAATCAACAGTGTTATAACGGGGTCGAATGTAATTCTTTTTATACCAAAATAAAAAAATCCTGCAATGATTCTCCTGGTCAAACTTTAAAATTATATGTGGTAAACAAAGAAAGGTCGGTTGTCATAACTTTGTATTCCGGAATATTAAAAGTAAATAAATAGTGGTACCTTTTTTTGGACAGACTTTGTCTTCGAATTTATTTTTACATAATTGCCATCAGACGGAATTCTAAAATTTAAAATATGCGTTTTTAGAGACAAAAGAAGGGTTCCAATAGTAAAATTTAACCATAAAATGGATTATCTTGCCTACAGACAAAATAACTACGAAAAAATTAGAATGCCGGATACCATTCGAAAAATTTCGAGAAGACACATCACCTCGTGCACTAACTTGTGCTTTCACAACTTCAAAATTTTCATTCATTAAACCTTATAATGAACACCGAAACGAAACTATCCGTGCCATAGAGGACTCCGTGTTGTTTTCCATTGTAAACTACTATTACAAGCGGCCATTTTTGCAGTCTGACGGCACGCACTTAACTTAATTAAATTAAATTAATATATAAAACTGATGGATATTAGTTAAAATTTGAGGGTCTGGTGGGAATCTCAAAAAAGTTTCTTGAGTATTTTTGACACGGATAAATCGATGGCCGGATGGCCGAGTGGTGAAGATGGTAGCCTACCGCTTTGGAGGACCCTGGGGTTGGTCCGTCCGGATATGTCGGGCGCTGTCCCTCACTACCTGGCAGCTCCATTGTGGGGCTGGCCGAACCCATAATGGGCATTTCCGCGCTTTTAGTGCAGCTTAAAAAAATAGATAAAAACATAAAGAAACAAATACGTAAATTATTAAAAATATTATTTAGAACTTTATTATTTAATGAAATTCCTTATGATATTTATTAAATTTTATTACTTTCTGTAATGATTTTAATGAAATATTTAATCAACAATAATTGAATAATCTAACTGTTAAATCGCAAAAGAGATCATAAAGCGAATCATGCATTCTCGTTTCCAAAAGATAAAATTAAGTATTAATATCCAACAGAAATTTTATTTCAAAGTTAATTTAATTAATTTCTGAATTTTAATTTCTGCCAATAAATTATAATAACGTTTGATTTCTTAATTGTTCAAAAATTATATCTTAAATTACATTTTAAAAAAAAATGTATCTAATAAGTTATTCTGTACATAACTTATTAGCGTAATGATGTATAACTTACCGTATTTTACGGCATATAAGATGCAAATTTTATCCAAAAGAAGACTCAGAAATTATCTTACATCTTATACTGTATTTGAAGTTGTGATTTTCCGTAGACTGAAATCCCCAAACACTATAATACAGGTAACATCTACCCAGTTCAATCCTAGAATAAAAATGCTATTGTTTAATTAAATATATGTAGTATTATTATTTGTTTTTTGCTATAGATAAACACCTTTTTTTATATATTCATATATAATATTTTAACTTCTTTTAACCTTCTTCCTTCCTCATAAAGAAAAGTGTACATTCTAATTTTACTTTTTAAAGGCAAAAATACAGTAAAAAAGTAAAAAAAAANAACAGAAATTTTATTTCAAAGTTAATTTAATTAATTTCTGAATTTTAATTTCTGCCAATAAATTATAATAACGTTTGATTTCTTAATTGTTCAAAAATTATATCTTAAATTACATTTTAAAAAAAAATGTATCTAATAAGTTATTCTGTACATAACTTATTAGCGTAATGATGTATAACTTACCGTATTTTACGGCATATAAGATGCAAATTTTATCCAAAAGAAGACTCAGAAATTATCTTACATCTTATACTGTATTTGAAGTTGTGATTTTCCGTAGACTGAAATCCCCAAACACTATAATACAGGTAACATCTACCCAGTTCAATCCTAGAATAAAAATGCTATTGTTTAATTAAACATTACTTTTATTTGCTATAGCAGATAAACAGCTTTTGTATGTATTCGTGTTGAATATTTTAATGGTAAATTTTAATTGTGAAAGATTGTTTTAAACTTTTTTTCCTTCCTCATAAAGAAAAGTGTACATTCTAATTTTACTTTTTAAAGGCAAAAATACAGTAAAAAAGTAAAAAAAAAACTTTTGAAAATCAAAAAAATCTTAATCTATAGACTATTGTAAATCTTGTTTTTTCTCAATTTAGACGTTTTCAAGTCATATTATTATTATTATTACAGTAATGAGGTCACTTGTTGATATGTCATTTCAAACACAATAAACTAATTAAAAAGACTTTATAATATTTTTATTTAGAAAATCTTTGAAAATTTCGTAATCTTGTTTCTGCAGGTGTTTTAGGAACGTTACTAGTAATTCAATGATCCAAAATTATAGAATTACAATTATCCAAGATTACAGAATTTTCAATAATTTTCTAATTGAAATATAGGGGAGACCGGGGCAAGATCGGCATGTTAAGCTTTACTTAAATTTTGTGTAATAAATACTGCTGTAAACTGAAAAAAAAGCTTTGCATATTGTCTATTGGAATGTTACCTTACTATAGAACTGGTTAAAATCAGTTTGGAAATAAAAATAATTAAAATAATTACAACTTTACAAGAAGAGAGAAATTGACGAAGTTGCCCCGGGTATAGGGGCAAGATCGGCAACTTCTCTCTTTTTGTAAAGTTGTAATTATTTTAATTATTTTTATTAAAGTTGCCCCTGGTATAGGGGCAACAGTAATGGGGCAAGATAGGCACGTATATAAAATTATGTTATTAACAATGTATAAGTTGGAATTCACTATTAAAACAAAGAAATACAAATCCAACACCCATTTAATATTATTACAACGAAATGCAAGTTCAAAGACATATATACATGAATAACAAATGCAAACATGTTTTCATTTATCATCTGTTTGATTTTTATCCTTTGCTTCTAATGTGGCTTTATGTTGCCGATCTTACCCCGCTAGTCATGATTTCGAAACATTAAGTACAACCCTGAGAACAGAATGCCAAGCCACGATCTGGCCACGTGAATAAGTTGAAGTTACATCCTTCTAACAGGAAAAGTAACTTTCGTTATCATGGAATTATAACAAAACCTGCCAATTCAATATAAATGGAAAAAAAATATTATATGGAATTGAACGAAAATGAAAATTTGCTTGATAATTCAACTACGCTTGTTTGAGAACAATAAAAACACTACACTCAACAAGCCACCAATAAAACTCAACTGCCTAACCTATAACCAAAGTCTCCTTTTAATTTGTTTTTAAAAAAAAGCGCTTGACAAACTTGCCCCGCATGCCGAAGTTGCCCCGGTCTCCCCTATAGCCGATGATCCCAACAACAAAGGACATATTTTTACTTGTTTATCTATTATTTCCTCGTCTCTCAAGGTTGAGAATGATAAACAACATGCATATAATAATTAGCATAGTTTGATTGACATGTCATATAAATAATCTCTGTCGTATTCTCAGTAAGAAACTTTATAATTGGAGAATCCAGACACTTTTCCTCTAACTTCTTTATTTTATTGTTAAATAAAGTAATTATTATATAAATGTAAATGCATTAAAGTATTTACTATATTTATTTTGTATAATAACATTTTTTTTTTTAACCTGGAAAAATCACTAATGTTAAGGATATTTTTAAACTGTAGTGTTCATATTTATTATTATAAGTATTTATGATAATTTCACTCAAATTTTTGTAATTTATGTTTTAGTTAAAGCATTTAGCAACAGCAGTTTGTTAGAATTTTATATGTTTTAGTATATGAGTCTTGTAAGTGTATGAGTAAAATTATATCAGTAGTTTTATTTAAAGATTTAATTCTTTTCTAAGTTTTATATGCTTATATAATGTAATGTAACGCTAATAACGAGTAAAATCTTCATTAAGTTCGACCCCACTCGAGATATGACACGTGATCCTCCTCTACCTCCCACTCTTGATTTTTAACTACTAAAATTTAATATAATCAATGCCCCTAATACACAAATTTCCGTGCAAAATTTTAGAAATTTTCGACAAAAGGCACAGGAGTTATGAAGCTTCGAAGAGGTTAATGTCCACAAATACTGTACCACATACATACAAATTACATAAAACAGGAAATGTATTAACTTATATATGAAAATATTATCGGTAATAAAGAAAAATTATTATGAAATAAAGTAGCATTTTTACAACATTTTTAAATATTAAATACTAATTAAAGAAATAAACCTTAAATTAAATTACTATGAAATTCTTAATTAGATAGTGAATGAAAATTTAATAGGGAAAGTTTATCCAATAAGGAAAAACGTTTAATTGAGAGAGATAGGAGAGTTTCGAAATCTATTGGTTGAATGAATAGACTTATATAAAACTTAAAAAATAACAACATTCACTTACAAAATTACAGACAATTCTGATATTTTTTAATCTCTTTTGGTATTTGGTATGGAATTAAAAAAGAGAATAGCCGTAATCGGTGCCGGTGCAAGTGGAATTGTTTCTATTAAAATCTGTAAAGAAGAAACTCTTCAAGTTTTGTGTTATGAAATGACAGATAAAATCGGTGGATTATGGAATTATCGAGAAGAAAATATTGAAGGTATCGGCTCTGTTTGTCTATCTACAGTCATGAATTCAAGTAAAGAACTTAGTGCCTTTAGTGATTTTCCACCTTCCGAAGCTTATCCCAATTATATGCCTCATTCTCTTGTGACTGAATATTATCAAATGTATGCTAAGAAAAATTCACTATTTTCTAATATTTTATTTAATAGAAAAGTAATTTCTATCTGTCCTAGTCACGATTACGAAGTTTCAGGAAAATGGAAAGTAATAGCTATCAACTATAAGACAATGAAAGAAGAAGAAGATATTTTTGATGCGGTTTTAATTTGTACGGGTCATCACTGTTATCCAAAAATTATTTCTTTTCCATGCCAAGAAATATTTAATGGTAAAATAATTCATTCTCATGAATATAAGACACCTTTACCGTTTAAAAATAAAAGAGTTTTGGTAGTTGGAAGTGGAAATTCTGCCTTAGATATTGCAGTAGATTTGTGTGGAACAGCAAAAGTGGTACGTATAATTAGATTAATAATTTTAAGTTAATTTTTAAAATAAAAATATAAACATTAAATTACTTTTTAAAATATTTTCTGTTCTTGGATGTCTTTTCTATATGTATGGATATTAATATGTGTGTATGGAGGAAGTTTGATTTTGTTTACTACTTTGAAGCTTGATAACTCCTGTGCCTTTTGTTGAAATTTTAAAAAATTTTGCAGGGATTTATGCTATTAAATTTTGATGATTAAAAGTCAAGGGATGAGATGAGGGATGTGTCATGTCTATTGGAATGTTACCTT